CGGGTCCTGGGAGGCTGATGCTTCAGCCTAGACACCACAACAAAATTATCCCAATGTGCTTGGGGCTTTAAGTGAGAATCTCTTCCCTGTCTTCTAGTTTCATATTTGCTATGGTTTTCCTCTTTAAGAATGTTTTACTTTTACACAAAACACAGCAGTATGGCTCTTTAAAAAAAAAAAAATCACACCAAACTCTTGACTGGAGATATTGTTTTTAGACTCAGATTAAATATGGAGCTAATTCCATTTCCACCGTACATGTTGCGACCGCACAAGACTGAATTTAAGGTGTTCCATGCCATCCCCCTACCCCCTTCTAATCAGAGAAGTGAAGTCTCCATGCAAAGAAATCTGGATCGTAATAAAATCTCCAGCCATCTATAGGATAAGACCATTGTTGAGTGTCTCTCTTGGAATCTGCAAGCCAAATGCCCCCCACCCCCCTTGAAAGACACAAAAAGAACGCCTCTGATTAATAATCGCTTACGCGGCATACTGAGCCAAAGCCAGGGGCCCGCAGGACGCCGGAGAAAGGAACAGAATTCTCAATACCTAGAATTTTAATACAGATTCCAAAGATGAGCTAACCCTATCCAACGGAGATTAACACTTTAGTAAGCAATGCTTTGGGGAGGGCGATGGGGGAGACTAGTGTATTTCAAAATTTCCTTTCTGGGCTAGAGCAAGGGGTGACCAATGCATTCACCCGACATTCTGCGTACAGGCATGTGGGCAAAATCATAGGTAGCTAACGGTCCAGGCCTAGCATTCTGCACCCCCCCCCCCTTCCCGCTCGACCTCCTTCCTTGGTCTTTTGAGACAAGGCTATGAAAACTCTTTTTGTGACTAGTTCCCGCGAAGCTAGTTTTGAGCCTCTTGTTTATTTTCCAAGTAGAATCGGAGTCTGAATTCCTCAATTTTGGGTTTTGCCACGGTGCCCCCCATCTCCCCATACCCCACCCCCCACCCCCGCCCTCGCTGGGCTTGTGAAGAGAAAGGAGGGACCCTGGCGGGGCGGATGAAGCAGGCTTTCAGCCTGTTCCGTAGGGGCGGCCTCTTGGCCCCACCAAATTCGTCTCTCCTTTCTGTCTCCATAGGTGTTTCCTTAGGCCGACCACGGTTGCTGTGGCCATGGCCAAGGGAGCCAAGGTAGGCTTTAGGGGGAATGAAATGAGGGAGCGGCCACAACCCTGGAGCTCGGGGGAGTCTGGGCGAGCACCCGGGCCGAAAGCTGAGTGGTACTAGGGGCCAACGTCGGGCTCCAGGCTCCTGCCGGCAGGGAAACAGCGACACCTACTGGCCCCTCGAGCGCCGCTCTTGGGCCGTCGGGGCGGCCCTGACCTGGAGAACCTGCATTCTCTGGACTCGGGAAGCTTCAAGAGCTTTGTGTTCAAGGCTCTGGGGACCTCTCTAGCCATTGTGCGCAGGAAAGGCAAAGCTATAGTTTCTAGAGGGCTCTAGGGGGCCGCAGAAGGGGCCTGATGACACAGGGAACCTCAAGCCGAAGGTCCTTTCTCCTGGGAACCCTAGGGACCTGCAAATGCATTGACTTCGGTTATATGAGACCCAAGCAAATGTCGCAATCCTAATTTACTTGGGCTTATAATGTAGTCTTCTTCACCACCACACCTATTTCAGCGCCAAATGAAGACTGTATTTTTACAAATGCCTGGTGCCATAGGCCTGCAAATTGGTTGAGCCCTTCTGGGCGCTGCATCCAGAAAGCATTTGGTACCCTTTTGTCCCTTAAGAATTATAATCTTATTAATTCCTCAAGTTAAGGGAAACTTGGGATGATGGTGATGTTTTTGAGATCTAAGGCTACACACACACACACACACACACACACACACACACACACACGAGAGAGAGAGAGAGAGAGAGAGAGAGAGAGAGAGAGAGAGAGAATATCAAAGTAGATATGTTAAAGTATATGTATTCTATATAAACTATGTCTGAGTACAATTTTAGTATTCTAGATTTTTTTGTCTCATGAGTCTTTTCTGTAAAACCAAATAGCCGTTCCATGTGAAAGCGTGATGTAGGTGGTCCCAGCAGTGAGTGGAGGAGGGAGGGGGGACCCAGCGTCCTCTCCTACTCTGTATGTATCCTTTTCATGTGCCAGGTTCTGGGCTGGCAGGGCCCTCTGAAGTCTTACTGTGACTCGGGACTAACCTGTTCAAATATTAAAGCAGATTCCTTTTCCTTAAAACACTGGAGCATTTGAACTAGTTGGAGTCTTTGAGATTTCAATGTAAAATGTCACAAATGCCACGTTTTTTTTTTAAGACAATAAATTCACCTGTTAATCCAAAGGTCAAGAGTTCATATTGGAAAGTCTTTTTCTTCACTTTAGAACACTGGCTGGAACCAGGGTCTAACACGTTTAAATCAGGGAAAGGGCAGGGAAGCTCTGGTCAGGCTAAATTATTGTCTTCATTCTGCAGAATTGTAAAAGTTTGCTCATTTCTTTTTTCTTTAAATAAAACAGGATGCTCTTAGTGTTCCTAAAAGCAGGTTTTTAAACAGTTGTCTTTCTATTTCCTTTTTTATTAAAAAAGAAAAGAAAACTCTCAAAGTTCCAGAAGCCCCAACTCGTTTTTTATAATTGGAGTTTTCTTGTTCTAGTTCTCCTGTAAGTGTGTGGACGGGAGTGAGTTTGGTAATACATGGACTCACACCTTAGAACAGACCCACAGCAATTTGTATGGTGTGTGAGTAAACTCAGATTACTAACACGGAATAAAAGACACCACTATTCTTCTATTCTTCTCAATGAGCCTGATATCTTGCTGTATATTAAAGTTTCTCCTTGAAAAATGAAAACCCTCCTAGGAAAGCAAAATGATTGCAGAATAGTTAAATGGCACGGAGTGTATCAGCACCCAGCCAAGGAAACCCACTTCACAGGGTCCTGAGGTATTGAAAGCACCTTGGAAAATGGCAGTGGCCTTTTGTTTTTGTTTTTTTCCTTTCTGTGTGGGGGTTTTAGAATGTGTCGTATCTGTGACCCCCCAAACCATAACTGGAATGGATTCTTGTTTCATCGTCTTTGGTGCAACTCTAAACATTATTTTATCCTTAATGTGAAAAATGGAGCGTGTGCTTCAAAATGGTGGAATTTCTCTGCACCTACATAGCAACTAGCCCCAACAAGTTAGCCTAGCACACCCCGGGCAAAGGAAATTTACTTGATTTGGGACAGAAAATTAGGTCAGCACAATAACTTATTTCATAAGAAACATGAAAATGCTTGCTATAAAAACACAGATGTGTGTGATTTTAGTGACTTGTGCGGAGCAAGGGTAGAGACAAGAGTCCTGGCGTGTCCTGGTGTCCCCTGGTATAGTTCTCTCTGAAACAATTGGAAACAGACTGAGCTTAATAGACTGGGTCTCTGCTCTTTGTCCTATCTGCCTATGCCCCAGTGCCATGGGGAGGGTGTGCTTACTTCTCTCACTGCGTAGTGAGTATCACGAAGGGAAGGAAGCAAGGATGAGAATATCGATCAGAAAGTAACATTATGGGAAAATGAGACAGATACATTTGAAGCCTGCTTAAATCCCAGCTAGCTGGCTGGCTGGGGAGGGAGCCTTTCCCTGTAAGTTGGCAGTCTGCGTGAATGAAGCTCTTGGGAAGAGAAGGGGCTTCCTGGATGCTGAATGCCCTTCCCTTCAGCTTCATGGAGAGGAGCTCCAAGGACACCTGTGTGCATCTACATGGAGGAGTGTGTGTGTGTGTGTGTGTGTGTGTGTGTGTGTGTGTGTGTGTGTGAAGAGAAAACATTTGATCAAAAATACATTGGTAAAATTCTGCCTTGGTATCTGTTGGGACCAGGCATCAAGGTCACTAACTGCCCAGGATAACTCGGGGGGAGGGGGCAGCGTTGTTGCTTTGGATGGCACGGAAGTGGCTTCTTTCATTTCTCTGGCTCTTTACGGCACTTCTTTTGAGTGGGGCGAGACTGAGTTTCCTCCTCCTCCTCCTCCCCCTTCTTGATCCTGGCAAACAAAACGGTTCCACCACTTGGGCCATCTGCCGCAGGTGTAATCGATGGCAGGGGGCCGACCTAACTACACTCCAGGCTCTTCCAGGTCCTCACCGCTCTGCACCAAACAAATGAGTCCTGTTCTGCCACTAGGGTGCCGAGGTGGACGAGGGATGCTGGCCCCAGCCTCTGGCAACACTCAGTGCTTAGAAACCGGAGCCATCTGACAACACACGCAGCACACGGACGGGCACAGAGAAAATGCCCGGGCATCGAGTGTTCCTTCAGCACCCCCCCCCCCGCACACAAACGGAGCATACGTACATAACATTTAAAAGCCATTTAGAGTCCCTCTTAATTCTCGGTAACTCAGAGCTGTCTACTCATCACTCCAGGCCCCCCGAGTGTGTTTGCGTGTAGGGGGGCACGCATGGATGTACGTGTGTATTTAAAAACGCTTATTGGTAGGTCAGCAGCAGCTGATCAGTCATGGTGATCCAATAATCTTTTTGACTACGTACCAATTTTCGTTAAAGTCATTCTTTTTAAAATGGGGGAAATAACAATATTCTGCACCATCCGGGGAATCCTTAGGCTAGGTTCGAGGGAACGGCCGAACCAGAGAGTGCCCACCTCGCCAAACTTTCCCTCTTCGGGGTATGAGAGAAGCCTACTTTCTCACTTCCTGACGAGGCCAGAGCGTCCCTTGAAGGCGGGTGTGGAAGGAGGGAAGGTCGGCAGCGGCGTAGGGAGAACCTGACGCTGGAAGGCGCAGCCGTCGCGGATTGCCCACGGAGACTGGGCAGCAGCAGCCCCGGGCCGCAGCCGGAGCTGGGGGCTCCGAGGCAGGCGCCCCGCACCCGTTTGGCCTGGGAACCTGACTCTGGAGCCCTGCCCCGACCCCTCGCCCCACCCCAGCTTTCTCCGCTGGTTGACTGCCGCGAGTTTCTCAGATTTGGGCGGGGTTTGGACCCTTCCAAGTGGGAACTCCGCGGGCCCCCAGGGTACTCACCTTAGGCGAGGCCCTGGCAAATCTTGGCCCAGAAGCATCAAGTTTCCACTCCTAGAGGGACCAGGCTCCCTCCTGTCTTCCAGTCACCGCAGGCGCCTCTCTCTCTCTCTCTCTCTCTCTCTCTCTCTCTCTCTCTCTCTCTCTCTCTCTCTCTCTCTCTCTCTCTCTCTCTCTCTCTCTCTCATCTGGTTCTGGTGACTTTTAGAGGCAAAAGCTTGGTTATTCAGAGGAGGGGGAGGGACATTGGGAGAGTGGGGGAGGGGGAGGGAGAGAGGAAAGAAAGGGAGAGAGGGAGAATGGAGGGTGCAGAGAAGAAGAATCAGAAGATAGTGCGGGCGTCGGTGGAAGAGGAGGAGGAAGAGGTGGAGGGATGGGAGGGGTAGGGTGGAGTAACAGAAGATGGGGTGGGATGTGACCGCCAGGAATAAATTGCTCCCCACCCAGCTGCAGTGCGACGCCCCCAGCGTCTCTGGGGAGCCGGTGCGTCAGCTCCCGACTGGCCTAGGCGGGGCGGTACAAAAGCTGGCGCCGCAGGACCCCCTGCGAGGGCTTCCACCCAGTCCAGGCAGCCTGGGAGGCCGCTGCACCGGCCGCCGGCGGCGCCTGGCCCCGGCAAGGTGGCTGGGCAGGGCCTTCCAGCCGTCGGGAACTTTTACTTCATCCCGTTTTGTGTCAGACAAGTGCAGGGACCCGCGGGGCATCCTGGCCCTCCTCACCCTGGCGCGGGGCTCCCCGGCTAGAGCCGCTGCTGTCCGTGGGCTCGTGATCCCGCCCGCACCCCAACCCTCGTCCCCGCACGCCAGGGCCCCAAGTCTCTGTTATTCATCGGGGCATCCCTGCCTCTTCTT